CGCTCCAGTCAGAGAGACTCTCATCTCAATTTGTCATCAGATACTCGAGACTTGAAAGTAGTGGGAAGAAAAGCTGAACTATTAACTGGAAGACAGAGCAATATAGAAAAAGCAGAAGAAATTAATTCAAATGCCACAGAGGAATCAACATACCGAGTATGTTTTGCATCATTTCAAGTTAAATATGAGCGTCTTCACCTGAAGCCAAGCATATGTCTCTTGGTGAAACTTTAAAATTGAAGGTGACAAAAATAATTGCATGTAGATGGTATCCAAAAATAGTGGAGTTCTTGTAGTGTCAGTTGGACTCTATTTTATTTCACTTTTATGGGGGTTTTTGGCCTGGTTGCTTGCACTTTCCTCTGTCATCTGTGAATTCCAGAAAGACAAAAGAATCTTGTTCTACAACTATGAATGTTGTTTGTCATTTTTGGCTACATTTGAATGTTTCCCAGTAAGTTGATACTTACCACATTCTTGCTAAGGCACTAATTCAAGAGCTGGATCAGGAGAAAGAAAGGAGGTGGAAAGCAGAGCAAGCAGAGAAGAAATTGACAGAGCACGTCAGAGAGCTACAGCAACGTGCAAAGGAAGAAAAGAATGTTCAGAGTATGGCTGTGTACACTACAGACAGGTAGGGAAACAGTGCTGTAGTATAAGAGGGTTTTTTGTTGAATTCAAGACAATTCAATTTATAGGCTTAAGAAGTGAGAACAGCTTTAAACAATATTTGGAAAATAATGCATCAAGAAATAGTGCTACAATTTCTCTTGGTATTACCTAACAAAGTTCCTTTCTGCAGCTTCCTTCCGGTTCTTGTCTCACACCAGTATCAGTTTCTAGCCATTACTAGCCAAGCAGTCAGTATCATAACTGAACTTCCTGTGTCAGCTCAAGCTCTAGTAGCTGTCTTGTACCATGTGTTCAGCTTCCAATTCCCACTGTCCCGTTCCACCTACCCGTCCTGTGTTCTTCTTTTCCTGCCCGGTGCACCTCAACAAAGACGTTTCTGGCAGGCTGGAGCTGGCCGATGGGCGCTATGTTGTGCGGGTCAGCCCTCGCGTATCTTCCTACAGGCTGCTGTCATCACCCCCCTCGGTTCTGGGCAGCATCCTTTTTTTCCAGAAGTTCTCTTTTCTAACAGAGCCTTGCTTCTTGTCAGCCAGGATTGGTCTGCTCTATTTGTGTTTAACTGCATTGTATTTTTCAAAGGCCTGTTTTCTTTCTTGTAAGGAAGAAACAAGCCTAGTGCTTCCCGAGTTACCATCTGTGACTGACTGCAATTATTTCCCCTTTACTTTTGCCTTAGGTTCACTTTCAACCTTTTGCTTGTTATCACCTTGGAGAAGTGGCTTATTGTGTTCCTTTTCTTTTGAGTTCTTAAATTTTCTAATAATTTTTTATATATTTAAGAAAACTTTGAAATATCTTTAAGAAAATTATTTTCTTAAGAAAATTATTAAATTGCAAATTGATACTATATGTTTGACTTCTGTATAAAGCAAAATGATACAGTAGTGTCATTTCTGTAAAGACCTATATATGAGGTTGTCTCCAGCTTAGTTTCTTTTAAAATGATGAAGCTCCATATAGTAATGCTACACATGACTTCAGTAAGATTTTATGTGTTTTTAAACAGCTTTACATGACAGTGCTGTAAATAGTAAACCTTGGTAAAGAGTAAGATGCGGTCCTACAGCACTTGCTAGTGTCTTTTCTCAAGGTATTTGGTATCAAACTAAATACTAAAATGTTTGTAATGCCGCTTTATTGCGTTTGTTCTTAGATTAAAGGAATTGATATTGAAAGAGAGAGATGCTAAAGCAAGACTGCAAGCAGATGTCCAGCAGTTGAGAGGCGAAACTGAGAGACTTACTAATGAGTTAAATCAGGCAAGAAATAAAGAAGCAGAACATCAGAAAGCCATGCAAGCTTTAGAAGAAACACTATCCAAGATGGAGACACAAAGGTTGCAGCAACGAACATTAGAGGTAAATAATTTTTGTGAGTAAAAAAAATACAATGGCAACAGAATGGCTACTATAGTCCTAGATATTAAGAAACAGTAGGTTTTTAAAAGCTTTAAGTGTGACTCTTCCACAGTAAAAGCTGGGGTTTTTTTCTACGTAGTAGTAGTTAATTAAAAGTATCCATTTTAGTAGTCAATTATTGTCTTTTATAGATAGAAGTATGACATGTGATGTGTTCTTAAGACAAAGGAGAGTATGTCCTATGTATTTAACACAGAGTTGGTATTTTCTGAAAATACACAGTAACAAAAACAAGTCTTTTAAAATGTTGCTGAAATCAATAAAGATCTTACTAGCAGGATGGAAATCTGGTGGTTCTCTTTGTTTTGCTGATGTGAAGAATTAGATGCTTTAAACTGTGACCAGAACAGTAATCACTGAAAACTTATTTTAAAGATTCTGGTTGTTTTGGGGATTTTTGGGGGTTTTCTTTTACAGCTGGAGAAGATGATGCTTTTGTTGCCAGAGGCACTTTGTCCAGCACACAGATACCTAAGATCAAGTTGCTGGACCAGATACTGCCACTATTTCTGAGTAATTAATGGATGAATTTTAAGTGGCCAAATGCTGCATCCTCCAATATCTATCCCTATTGTTTGATTGTATTCTTACATTGGCCCGTTCCTGTGTCACTGAATGCATACACTTACAGAAATTGAATCCTGCTACCTCCATGCTGAAGTCTCTGAATTGCCGGTGTGGTGCTGTAGGGTGTGGTGTTGTCCAGATACCCTGAAAGGAAATGCAGCCCGGGAGTGTGCTGACAGCCAAACTGTGCTGCCAGTGCAGTTAGAGTTACGGGTTAGCCACCCTCCACTTCAGGCTCCTGTTCAGGCACCGGAGTGGCTCTTCCATTTTCTTCCTTACCTGTAAATACCCGGGAGCAATTATGGATCTAGAAGTGACCTCCAGTTTAGATCAAGTATCTGCTTGTCACTTGGAAAAGTACTAAATTTAAGGATTTAGAGAAGAGGAGAATGGTTGAGGGTTTTTTTTGGTTTGTGTTTTTTTTCTTTTCCTAGAAGAAAGGAAATACCTTATTGGTGTTTGAGGTTTTTATTTTTCCTTTTAATGAGTTTCTAGAAATAAGTATTCTCTTGATAATAGTAGCATTATTTTTACTAACTGCAAAACTTTATTAGAGGGAGGTCTTTGTTCCTGTCTTAAAGAGTATTTGCTACAGGATCTTAAATAACTATGTCTCAAAAAATCATGATGCTCTAGAAACTAAATTCTCATTTTTGAATTCAGATTTAATATACCTTTGGCCTATCTTACCAAGTCTTAAGATTAACAAATTCTAGAATACTTTATAGAGCTTTCTCATAGTACACATTGGCAGTTACCTTCAGTGGTAAATTATGGTTACTCCAGGTAGTCCCTGTTTAAGGATTTCAGCCAACATTACTAGATTACTTCTTTAAGGGATTCAAGATAAGTTACTGTGCATCTAAACGCATACCTGACTTTCTGGAAGTCTTTAAACTTGCTTGTTCTCACTTGAAATGTTTGTTTTTAAGTGCTTCGATTCAGGAGAGAATTGTTTCACTTCATCCACAAAACAACTGGAATACAGTTGTATATCTAAATGTTACTCATTAAGAGGCTTAACATGTAGAACATGAGAACTTGGCTTCATACTCAAGCCTCTCAACAATTTTCATACACTGACGAGACTGTATGAACTTCAGGTACCTCTCGCATTGTCAAGCTGAACTCATGACATGCTGCAGCAGCAGGACGTTGCAGGAGATGATAAACATTGGAATCGCTGTTTTATTTGTCAGTGCAGGACATTCCATACAGCTGTTCCTTAATATTTTATTTTTCGTTTTGATTGTTCAGAAATCAGGTTGAGGGGACAGTTGTGATGGAATTCTGAAAGAAAACATTCGGGATATTTTTGTTGTTGCTTTGTGAGGGTTGGGGGTTTTGTTTGTTTTCTTGTGAGAGCTGGAAATTAAACTGGGCTGTTTCTGTGGTGTTCTGGGTCTGACATTAGGTAAGTGACAGTAATCTTGAGTAGTCAGTTACCATTCACAGATTTGATTCTCTGGGAAGTGAAGAGATGGGAGTTGTGCAAGTACAGAATGTGAAGACCCTTTGCTTTGCTTAGGAGGACAGGTTGTTGAGATAGTGAAGCTGCTACTGCTCACTGCTTGAGCAGGAAAGGATTTATGTGGTTGCTACAAGTAATGATTAGGAGTAAGAATATCTCCATTAACATCACCTCTGCTGTTTTCTGTTGCATGTTCTAAGCCTTCTGAAGTGTCTTGATTCTGAATTACCATTTCATGAGTAATAAAACCCTTTTTTTTATAACTTCTTTCCTATCTTTTTTTCCTACTTGAGTCAGAAAAGACAGCTCTGTACGTAAAAAGCTTAAGATTATGAAGTGGAATTATTCATAAAAGCTTGTATCATATGGAGAAAGTGGAGTATGCCACCTGGTGTTTACACTGATTCTCCATTTTTCGTAAAAACATTAGAAAGCAGCTTTGTTCATCAACTTTAAACTGTAAAAGTCAAAGATGCTGATTTTTTTTTTTTGTAACTGGAGTTAAAGTTACATTGAATACATCTAAAAATGTTTTACTTGTAATACTTTAATAATAGTTTCAAGATAAGAGTTTGTAGTTGAGGAAATCATTCTGCCAATACACTTGTTCCAATTATGCAGGACACTTGAGTTCTTTATAAATTAAGTCAATATCCTTGGTTCTTCAGGAAAGTTGCTTTTTTTGTGTTGTGGTAAGTTAAGCTAAGACTTAATTTTTAACATCCTGTCTTAAATTTCTGCAAGTGTAACAACAAACCCTCCCTTTATGACTTCTACACAGATGAAACAGGTGCAAGAAGCAGAGATTAAAGCATCAGCAAATGAACGAGAAGTACAGTTACTTCGAATATCCTTTCGACAGCAGAAGGAGAAGGTAAAACAGCTGCATGAACTGCTTATATTAAGAGAGCAAGAGCAAAGGTATGGGGTCTTCTGTTTTCACGAGTTCAGAAATGCGAGTGTTGTCAACATGATTTGTTTAAATGCGTTCTGCAGAGTGTGGGTGTGGTTCTGTTTGGGTTTTTTTTTTTAAATGAGAGATGGTCTTTGCAAAAACGTAGATGTCTTTCCACCCACTTTCTTGCTCACTTTAGAATATCTTCATATTTTGTAGATTCCTGGCTCAGGTCTGCATAGGCAGCTGTTCTTCCAGCCTTTTGTTTGATCTGTTCTTGTCTTATTATATGGCTGAACTTTTTTGTTTTGAATACTTGACCTTTCATCCAGGAAATAATCAGATAAAAATAAAATCGCATTCAAATTACTGTCTGAAGATGTGCACATACTACAAGAACACAGTGTTCTGAAAAAAGTCAGCTTCTGCAGTGTCTTGCTTTAGCATGGTTTTCCTCTTTCCTCTTAAAACTTCCTTTTTCTGGAGAATACTTGAACTTAAGTTCTATACGGTTTAGCTAATACAATCAAATATGTGTCAAACTACAGCAACAAGTGGTGTGTGATATACTAGTATGTGAGGGAGGTTATTAATGAAATAAGGTGGTTACACTTGCTAAATTTTACAGGGATAAATGTATTCAGATAGCAACATAACTGCAGGTTTAGATATGCAGATTCAGATAGCTGTGTTTTGAGAACTTCCGATTATTATCTTGTAAATCTCCAAATGTGAAGGGCAGCAGATATGTTTTGTGTTTGTGCTTTAAAGCAGATGAATAGGATGGCCCTAAAGTACAGGGTACTCTTGCTTCATCATTCTCCTGTAGGGATGCTTCCAGACAGGAAGGAACCTTATCCTGGAACCCATTGCTGCTGCTTTTCAGGTTTTGGGTCTGAAGTTGTTGGGTGAGGGTGAAGAGAACGACTGCAAAAGAGGGCATCTGTCTGTACAGGGCTTTTCCCCAATGGCAATGTCTCTTCCAGGTCCAGATCAGCGAAGCAAACAAATGCTAACTAACAGTGAAAGAGCAGTGGAATTATTTCTAAAAAAGTTTGACTTAAAAAGTAAGGTTCTCTGGGTGTTTTAACAGTAGCTGACACACTATTCCTCATACCAGGGCCACTGTCATAGATGATGGAAATCTGTCTGTGAAACTAAGGCGTTTATCCCATTTATTACGTAATTTGTTATCCTTTTTAAGAAATACTAAGGAAATTATTGAAACAGCATTGTGAGATACGGCAGTTCTTGTCTCAAGGATATGTTTGGTAACTTCAGGAAAGAACTAGAAACCCGAGTTGCCTTAAATGGACCTGAATTTCAAGATGCTTTGTCAAAAGAAGTGGCTAAAGAGGAGCAGAGGCATGAACAGCGTGTTAAAGAATTTCAGGAGAAAATTAATATGTTAAACCAGAAGTACAAAGAGTTAGAAGACGAATTTCGTTTAGCTTTAACTGTTGAAGCAAAAAGGTTTAAAGAGGTAAGGTTAAGAGAACGCTTCATCTCAAACGAGGTGGAGCTGTAGTTCTCTCAGTTGGGTTGGGTTGAGGGGGGTGGGGGGTGTGTTTTGTTTTCATTTCTTGATCCTCAAGGCCTAGGCTCCAAGGATTCATCTAAAATACTGGTAGTAAGCTTTGAAATAGCAGCAATTAGAACATAGACACCAACTGCCAAGTCAGCACTCAAAAAAAACCCAACAGTTTTGTTCATAAGTAAAAGTTAATCAAAAGAAACTAGAAAACCTTCTGTCTGGTGGTATTCTTTTAAAAGATGTTGACCTTCTATTAGAATATATTCAATTACTATAAACTCTTGTGGTGTTTTTGTAAGGTTATGGTTACATAAATACTAGTATATTTAGTTATAAAGTTCCTTATTGTTTAACTTTTCAAAATTGAATTTTGGACGTGCCTTTTGAAGTTCAAAGCTTCCTTACTGAATTCCTTAGATAACTTATAAAATAATGTGAACGCTGGCCATGGAAATAAGTTAAGCGAAATAAAATTTTAAATGCTTATCCTTCACTTAAACTTGGTTTTCTTCATTTTAAATCAGTTGGATACATGGGAAAGAGGGGGAAGAAAAGACCTTTTTTTTTTTTTCACCCTTCAAATCTTTCTTTTGCAAGGAAAAAAGAAAGAATTAATTCTAAGCTCTTCTTTCCAGATTTTAATGTTAAGATTAACAATGAGATTAAATCAAGGCATTGATGTCACTTCCCAAGCTAGATTTTTGCTGCTCTGCTTCCTGTCCACCCATGATTTTTTTCCAGTGGTGGGGTGTTTGGTTTTTTTTTCAGATTTGTAGCTGAGCAGAACCAGGTTTTGGAGTTGAAGTATCACCAATAAACTGTTAGAAAACCAGTTTCAGATATTCACTAATTTCACGTACTGTTGATGAACTGCTGTTTCTTCCTTTAATTGAAATTCAAATGTCATTTGTGTGTATGTATACACACTTTTTTCCAAATGTTAGCATTTTTCAAGTCTCATCTTGTAAAACTTCAGGTGAAAGGGGGTTTTGAAAATGTTGCTGCTGATCTAGTTGAACATAAACAAGCCCTCTTTGAGTTGGAACAAAAAGAAAAAGAGATGGCAAGTCTGATCCAAGACCTGACAAGTATAGTGAAAGAACAGAAAGCGAAGATTGCAGAATTGACAAAATCAAATGAAGAAGCTACAGCCAACCTAAAGGTACTTGTTTCAAAACATTTTAACTACGTGTATGATTCTTTTCAGTAATATTTTATCTATAAAAGTAGCAATTCCATACAAGGTAGGTTGACTGAAAGACACGTGTTTCCTGTTGCACTGAAACCTTGTAGTCCACATCAGCCTTTATTCTTGCATCTTGCACTTCTTTTTCTCACAAACACTGCCCCCCATATAGCAAAATCTAGTCTCATTCACGTCTTCAGAAGTGCAGCCCTTGTCTTGTGAGTGCCAGCAGTTTGTCACATGGTCACTCTAAACTGGAATTTTAAAAACTTACATTAATAGCCCTGACCCATTGTAAATCTGGAGTATGATTCTGCAGTGGTCACTGTACGTGAGGTAAAAATGAAATTGAACAAATGATCAAGTGTAGTTATTAGCAGCTTAATATCTGAGTTGCATGAAACTAGCAGCATTAGTCATTCTCTACTAATTGTCTAATTTTAATGTTAAATACTGCAGGCATAGCTGCTTTATCTTACACTACTGATCACTGTATGGTAACATCTTATAGTACTATGTTGTCCATAAATAATTCCTACATATCTTAGGAACGTAAGTTTCTTTTTAAGTTGCTGTGTGATCCAGACTGTGTATGTATCCAGTCCATCTTTATGGTAAAACCTCCGTGCGGTACAACCCCTGCACAGCTGTTTCTAATCTCCCTCCTACATGTGGCTGTTGGGGTGACCAAATCTTGTACTGCCATACAGAATAGGAATCTGCTGGTCAGTGATGCTGCTAAAAACAAAATTTAAAAGTAGCTATATTAAACAGCTGCAATCTGTAAAACAAAATGTAGCCTGCATAACTGCGGGGGGATCTTCATCATGGGAAGTGGAAGTTCATCCCAGCTTCTGTCTCTCTTCTTTTGCTTTGGTTTTCAATGTCTTGACTTTGTTTTTCTTTTTTTGACTTGTCCATTTATAATTCCAAACAGGTTTTTATAATGGCATTGATAACCTAAGGTGGCTGTTTAGAAATCAGTTTTCTGGGGTTGAAGTATGTCTATCTGAAGCAAACATTTGTGTTTCGTTACTGGGAAGAGATGCGTATAGAACCCTGTATGCAAGCAGAATATTCCTTGGTTAACTTAACTCGCTGTGTATAAGTATTGCTTTCCTAGCTGCTTGGCATTGACTGGAAATTTTGAATACATGTTTTAAAGGATCTTACTGTCTCTTCCCAATGTTTGTTCATACAGCGTCAAACTGGACAACTTGAAACTGCCATTGAGGAGGACAAACAGAAGTCTGTTCAAGTTGAACTTCTGAAAAAGGAAAATGGAAAACTTATTTCTCAGCTGACAGCCCAGGAATCTGTGATTGATGGGTTAAAAATGGAAAGAAAAATATGGGGGCAGGAGTTGGCACAACAAGGTAAAGTAATATTTATTTTTCCTTTTGCAGAAAAATGGTGGTGGTCAATGTCATAGCTTTTTGAATAAACACTCCAGTGTAGCTGTAATCATAATGGGGGTCTCTGGATGGCCTTGTTGATCTCACCCAGTTGTAAAGATGATGTGCAAAAATGGATCTTGTGTAGTACACAGGCTATTGTAACAGCAGGTGTGGGAGTTAGTTGTAAATACAGTGTTTCTTTCCCCAAAATGTCAAATTACCATAATGTTATACAAAGAACATGAAACTAGGAAAACAAAGATTGGTAAAAAGTATTATGTAATGCTGCTTGGCTATTGGGTAAGTCTAATTTGAAAGCTTCAGTATGTGTCTTGGGGGGGGAAAATAAGTGTTAAATATCAGGTGGAGAAAAAACTTGGGCTTTTTTAATTTTTCCCTGATTCATGTGGCTGACTCAGCACCACCTTGTGGGCTCTTTGAGATGGGGTCTGTAAGAATTGCTGCTGACCTTTATCAGAGAAGCTTTCAAAGGATGAAATACGGACCTTCAGTTCTACATTTCCTCTGAAGTGTTAGCTACCTACCAGTTAAAGCCCTGCAGTGTTTCCAGTGGGCAAAATGGTCATGTTTGGTTTTTAAGGTGGTTCTTGCCTTCACCTTCCCCAACATTATACACCTTGAGGTTATCTGTAAAATGAGTGCTGTACTGTGAATGTTCTGTTCTACCTAGGAGCTCATCTTGCTCAAGATCGGGGAAAACTGGAGGCAAAAATTGAAGTTCTAATGAATGAGATTGAGATGTTAAAAAAGCAAAAGGAACAGGACACTGATACTATAAAAATTAAAAACAAAATAGTGGATGATCAGACAGAAACAATTAGGAGACTGAAAGAGGTAAGTGCCGTGTCTCACAATTTGTGTGCTTAACTTTCACTGTGTTAATTTTAGCTACTGTGAAGGCTGTATGAAAGCTGGCTGTGCACTGCTGATTTACCATCTCAGAAAGCACGACCAGGCTGTCGGTGGCAACCGATGTTGCTGAGAGCAGAAGAGGGCCTTGTATTAACTTGATGTGCGGAGGTGCTACTTTGGATCTCTGACTGAACCATGTTTATGTAAAGACTTTTCTTCTCTGCTTTGCTTCCAGTTATTATTGATAATGATTTTGAGAGAGGAAAAACTAGGATAGTGTAATTCTTCCTGTGTGTTTAAAAGAAAAGGAAAAAAAATGTAAACTTTGCTTTGGGTTCATCTTACAATGTAAAGATTTTCTCTTCTAAATCAGTATTTTAACAGCAGAGCTACTATGTTTTGTTCTGTTAGTTCCATTCATCTCATTTAGGGACTTGAGACTGTAGCTTGTTGATCAAAGTCTTCTAGTATGTTGGTCAGGGTTTGAAGTGTTACTCATTAAACTATATAGCCATGTAACAGTGATTTGTGTGCATAGTATTAGGGTTCTAAACTTTTTTTTATTAACTTGCTTTCAATTTCAGATTTGTTTTGATCTTTTGTCTTTTAATTCTGACCTCTTTCAGATGAAGATTATTTAACTGGCAATCACTTTGCTAAGTATTTTTTCATATAATATGCTTCACATGTCTGTGTCTGTTATTCCAGCATAGACTAAACAGATGCTCTTAAAAGGTAACAATGAATGGCATTTATGTGTTGTAAAATATTTATCTTCTAAAGGGCTTACAAGAAAAAGATAGACAAATCAGAAAACAGCATGAAGAAAATTTGGAAGCTCAGAGACTTTTTAAAGGACAGTTGGATGAAAAAGTGGCTGAATCTGAAGAGCTAATGGAAAAATTAGAAAGGCAAAATGAAAGAAAAGAAGAATTAAAGCAACTGCTAGAAGAAAAAGAACTAGAACTTGATGACATTAAGAATGCACACAGGTGATGCATACAAGTGGCAGTAATGCTTTGGGATCATAATAGTATGCAACACTGCTCTGAAGTTATTCTGTGTTCAGAGAGTACTTGCTTGCTATTAAAACCTACACAAATGTGGAAAACTGGCAGCATGAAAAACTTCTCTTCTGCCCGCTGAAGAAGTGGTACCTACATTCGTCATAAATATATGCATTTTCTTTTCAGTGCACTGAAAAAGCAGTGGCAAGGTAAAGGAGAGCTATTAAGCCATCTGGAGGTGCAGGTTAAACAAATGAAAGAGAGCTTTGATATCAAAGAGAAGCAGCTGATTGAAGAGAAAAACAGAAGTCTTCAAACTCAGAGGTGAACTCCTTACTAGCTTATTTTGTGACTGCTCAGTTAGTGTGGAGTTGTGCTGTTAGTAAGTATACAAAAATGCTTGATTATGTGGTGAAAGAATGCGTAATACCTTTTTAATTACTTGGTGAGCCCAGTTGCTGTGAACTCTGTGTGCGCAGAAGTAATTCTTGCTATACAGGTGACTGACTGTGGGACTGGCATTCGGTTACAGCATTTGTCCTTTAAGCTGCTTAGCTATGTTCCCATTTTCCTTGAAAACAAGTGGAGCCTGCACTCGCTGCCCCCTAGTACACCCATCCATCCCACCACAATGCTCTTGGGGTACCTCTGTGAGGAAACTCCATGTCACGTGACAAGGACTGGTCTGCTGTCCTCGGACGTGCCGGCTGGAGTCACGCAGCGGAGCTGCTTGTGCAGGTGAGGCACAGCCTCGCCACCTGTACCGGGGTTTTTTGAGCACAAGCCTGGCAACCTGCTAGCTCATGACCAGGGTGCATGGAACCCAAGCAACTGGCTGGCGTTTGGGCTTAGCGAAGCCGCGGTGCTTCGCTGACATCTGTGCAGGGTGGTGGAAATACCTTGTGTGCTGTGTAGGAAATGGAGGACAGATCCTCAGTACTTATCACAACAGTAGTAATAAATACTTCGGTCTATAACAAAGGGACTGTTTGTAAGTCACCTGTCATTCTCTCCTCATACAAGTAGCAACAGGGGTTTAACTTTTATTATTCCTCCTGTACTGTCAATCTTTTTGAGTTAATAGTAACTATGAGATAATACAGAAACAAATACTTGTAACCCAGAAAATAATTGAGGACTTCGATGATGCTCAGTTATTTCATATGCTTGTGGCATTATGGAGAATTGTGGTACACTGCTGCCTGTGATAAGCTTAGCTCATTAGTATGATTTCTACTTCATTCTTTGGCCCCTTTCTCTTATTCTTCCTTCTTCACAACTATTCTTAAGAAGAGATTAGCTGGTTGATAAGACTGCGTGTTTATCTAGCAGTGACAACCACACTGTTACTGAAGGAATAAGCTAGTATGACTTAAGGTTTTTTGCTTTACATGTTTAAATTAACCACTTTGATTAATCATACTTCAGTTATTTTTTTTTTAAGGAAGTTTATCTGATTAATAAATGAAAGAAAATACATTGATGGACAAGTTTGACTTAAAAAAAATTAACAACAAACCACCCCAAAACAAACAAACAAAAGAAAACCAAACAAAACCCAACCACCTCAAACAGCAATAGTACTAGGTTTTTGAATTGTTGGGACATCAGTAATGAAACTGAAATTTTGTCCCAAATAATTGTTTTGTTTCAAAATTTTGGTGTAACTTAACTGTATAGTGGGATAACTTGCCGTGCTTTCTGTTGCTACATACTTAAGAATTGCCCCCTAAAAGCAGAACTTGCTTGGAGTCAAGGAAATGCTTCACTTTGGTGAAGCAGATGCTTCTGGTTCTGTGAGACAGGCTTCCAGGCTGTTCACAGGGTAGTGTAGTTCAGTTGCTGACTTCTCGGGAAGCAAAAGCATAGTAAGTAGGTGTTTGAAAACAGGTGGTGTTCTTAGCCGTGTTGACAGTAGCAAGCCCAAACCTTTGTATTGTATGCTAGTGATTAAATGCCTCTGCTAAGAGGAATGCCAGAAGCTCTAAACTAGAACATGTACTTGAGAAAACGGGCCATCTTCTGATGCTAAATACTGAAACAATTGCCTTCATGCCTATGTTATTAAAACTTTATTGAAGGCAGAGTTGGGCAAAGTAAAATACTTCTGGTTTCAGGAGTGTGATTTTTTTTTATCATTTTTTAGGATTGCTTTTAGAAAACAACTTGAGTCAATGGTGGCAGCTCATCAGGAAGAAGTATTGCAGATGGCAAATGAAAAGGAAAAACAAATTGAAGCAGCAAATGAAAAAGTAATTTTAATACTGTTTACTGTATTTGCATTTTTACTCTACAGCTGCTACAGCAGTGGCACCTGGAAGTACCTGTTCTATCTATCTGGCTAATCTCTGGATGGAAACAGCCCTGGCTTAGTACTTGATGTGTAGCTGTTATGAGCCAGTAACTAAACATCTCCTTATCTGTACAGGCAAGATAAATGATGATTTTACCAGATAATCCATTTACCTCATCTATGCCAGTGTTAACAGTTACTGTTCCTGTTGGATACCACATCCTTCCTTAGTGTGACAACTGGCGCTTTTTCTGTGTAGTAGGTGTTGTGGTTTTGATACATCACTTGCTACCTCCTAGCTAATTAATGGTTTTTAAAAGCAAAACTCTGCTGCTGCATCCAGTGTCAAAAGTAGTGCATTGCATATTTAAACACAAGCATATAACTCTTGTGTTGCTTACAGTGTTAAACATTGCCAAGATTGTATGGGCTTAGGCATATTAAGGAAAAGCAGGAATTCTGTTTAATCTCTGTGCTTTTTCAGGTTTACTGTGTTGAAGAAGAAATGCGGCAGCTTCTGCAGGAAACAGCAAACAACAAAAAAGCCATGGAAAATAAAATAAGACGACTCACACATGCACTGAATGATATTCAACAAGACCTTTGAAAATGAGTATATACGCTAAAAATGTGTATTACACAGACTTAAGCGAATTCCTACACTACAATGCACTTTTCCTTGTTTTCTAGAGAATAAATTTTGTGATATATTTTGAATTTGGCTTGTTATCAACTTGTTATGAGAACTTGCTGTGTGAACCAGACCTTGATACCAGCTGCCTCTTGTTATGAGGTGCAGCCTAAGTGTGGGATGTAATAAGCCTTGAAAACCTGGGCACAAGTTGAAAGCAGAGGCCGTGGCAGCAAAAACAACTCCCTGATGGTCAGTGACTGGTCTTTGGCAAAGCACAGCCTTGAGAGCTGGGAAGAGAGTGCCTTTGCTTTAAGAGAGGAAGCAGCAGTGAAGCAAAACAAAAACCAGCCCAAGGACTGAATAAGGCACCTGCAGTGGCCTGGGAAAACAATGCCCGCCCCCCCCCCCTTTGCCCAGTAATGACCAGGGGTGGAGGTGGAGGGCTGGGAAGTGGCCAGAGATTGCAGGGTCTTATAAATGTAAGATCCCACGTTTGTGGGAGGGGGCAGAAAGCAGCCACTGGCTTCAGCTCTGGCTCCCTACACCCGGAGTTCCTGTGCCTGGCCCCCGAGACCACCGAGGACCGGAACCATCAGCCCCAAGGAGGAGGCAGCTGCTCCGTGGTGCCATGCACTCTGGCTGAGGTGGGATGTAGCTGTTAAGGACTGACTGCTTTGAGTCTGTGGGAACAGTTGGAAACATGTAGAAATTAATACATAGGGGTAATGGTCAGCAAGGTGTGGGAACCAGCTCTTGGCACAATCAGGGTATTGAATGTCAGTCTAGTAAATTGTGCTGCAAAGTTTAAAATCAGCCTAACTTACTGGTCTACTGGCATCCCAGGGACCTCTTGATTCCCTGATGCAAGTGTGTCAATGTTGCTTAAATGCAGAAGAAAATGACTTCTCATTTTGTGCTCTACGCACTCCTGCTACTTCAGAGGCCATGTAATCTGAGGAAATGCTCGCCTGGAAAGCTGCTCTATAGTATTTAAATGGGTATCACTGGTGCAGAAAGGTTGTACCACTTCACAGTGCTTTTCTGTCATGTTTATCAAGTGTTTTCTTGGCCACTTTTTTCCTTTATTATTTGACCAAGCTACACTTTGTGTGAATTAATCGAACACCTGGAATGCACCAGGAAGGTAAAAAAACTTGCTCTTATCTTGATTCAGTTTATTAATAAGATTAGAGTTTTTCCTCTAAAATTTTCGTTCTGATGCTATTTTCTGATTTCATCGTAGGGAGATGTTACTGGTTTTAACATAAATTCTTTCTAGTCCCTGCTCTTGGCTCAGAAATCTGTACTTGGGTACAGGCATGCATTAGTGGTGTTTGGATTGTTTGTTTTTCATAGGGCTAATTCTACCTTTGGCATAGCTTCTCTCTTTATGCTTATAGGGCTTCTTCACATCTCCTTAAAAGATATTTAAATGAGTTCTACCTTCAAAATGATAAAATGTTATGAATATGGTGTAGGTCAAAGCTGTGCCAAATTTACCTATTCAGACTGATAAATTCCCGCCTGACATTACTGAAAGGCATAAAATAAATGAATAAACAAAATAAATACGAATATAAATGAAATATGAACTCTGCCCCTGTCACATGCAATTAATCGTGACAATTTAAAACTGATTCTGTGATGAGATTCTGTTTTGTTTTCACTTCCAGACAAGGTAATGCGTCTACCTCAATCGGAACTGAATGTGTAATCAATCAGGACAGGCCTGTGTTATCCGAGACCAGGAGGAACATGAGTCACCCCCTCAATTCTTAGGCTATGTGGACTTTAAAGCTTCTCTACTTTTATCGGGTGGTAACTGAGGGAAAGGGGTGTACCCTGAGGGACCTTAAGGCAGAGAATATTTGGACACTAGCGAGGGACAGGCCAGGCAGCCCCCATCCTCAGTGACTCTCGCCTGGCCGCAGCAGAGGTGAGAACGTGCTCTACCCTTAATCTGAGTGTTTTGTAGCGCATGCAGACGGTGACCTGGGTACCGAGGAGCTATCGTGCGGGGGAAAGGCAG